CACCATTGATTCACCTGTGATTGATGAAAGACTTGAGCGATTGATTGACATGGTTGATGAAGGTTCGGGTGGATGAAGAGCAGCAGTTGAGAGTTGAGTGATAGAGATGGATCAGGTGTGGGGGAGGAGATGAAGACGTGTGTGTGTGTGTGTGTGTGTGTGTGTGTGTGTGTGTGTGTAAGAGGGTCGAACGAAGTCTTTGTTGATATCTGTAAGCGGATAATTATAACAGGGTGGTGATATAGGTGTGTGTGTGTGTGTGTGTGTGTGTGTGTGTGTGTGTGTTGATCCTGATATGTGTTTTATTTTTGTATATATTCATTGTATATATTTTTGCATCACTGTATCTGTACCTGTATTTGCGTTATTATTTGTAACACTATAATGAACTGTATATCTGTAACTTTACCTGTAGGTTGTGTATATGTGCTTGTAACTGTACCTGTATTTTAATCAATTACCTGTACTTGTATCTATCATTACCTGTACCTATTACCTGTAAGCATGTTTGTTAAGTAACAGGTGAAATAGCTAATTGCTCAACAAATTCTCCACCATCAGCCGTCATGTTTCAATGCCATTGTTTTGAATCGACCTTAAATGACTTTCTTTGAGGTTACGAGAGGGGTCATTAAGAGGTCAAACAATCACCTGTACCACGTAAAGACCATTTCTGTTCTAACTATCACTTGCAACATCGTCTCGTAAGTGATAAGTAAGTGTGTATAGGTGGTTTTAAGTGTGTGTAGTGATAAGTAAGTGTGTTTAAATGAGTTATAAGTGTGTATAGTGATAAGTAGGGGTGTTTAGGTAGCTTATAAGTATGTGTAGTGATAAATAAGTCTGTGTGGTGATAAGTAGGTGTGTTTATGTGGTTTATAAGTGTGTGTAGTGATAAGTAGGTGTGTTTAAGGTGGTTTATAAGTGTGTGTAGTGGATCCAACAACAGTGAGTGACATTTGGATGGATGTTGCGTATGTTATCGTGTTCTGTGGTGATAGAGGAGACATGTGGTGATCATTTATAAGTACAGAAGAGAATCCGGGCAACAGTAATGGTCTTTGGTGGGGAAATTATTAAAGAGAGTCTGGAATGAGTCGACAAGAAGAGGAAGAAGGAGGAGGATGAGGAGGAGGGGATGGAGAAGAAGACAAAAGGAGGAGGAGGTGAGAGACGCTAGGAACATTAGTGTGAGAGGAGGAGGTAGAGAGGGGAGGAGGTGAAGGAGGCGTGGGGAACATTAGTGTGAGAGGAGGAGGAGGAGGGGGAGGAGGAAGAGGGAAGGTGAGAGGAGGCGTGGGGAACATTAGTGTGAGGAGGTGGGAGGAGGAGGTGGAGGCGTGGGAACATTGGTGTGAGAATGGAGAGAGGGGAAGGAGGAAGGAAGAGGCGTGGGGAATTGGTGTGAGGAGGAAGAGGGGGAAGGAGAGGAAGGTGAAGGAGGCGTGGGGAACATTAGTGTGAGAGAAGGAGGTAGAGAGGGGAGGAGGAAGAGGGGGAAGGAGAGGAAGGTGAAGGAGGCGTGGGGAACGTTAGTGTGAGAGAATCAGGAGGAAGATTGAGCAGGATTGACGAAGTTGGATGAGATGGATTTGAAAACACGCCGACCCTCTGGGTAAAGAACAACACAAACAACAAAAATAATAACAACAACAACAACAACATAGAAAGTAACAATAACAACAACAAAATGATCATCAGATATTGTATTGTGATGTAAATTAATGAACTGTATTATTATCAATAGGTGCCTTCCTCCTCTTCCTCTTCCTCCTCCTCTTCTTCTTTCCCCTCCTCCTCCTCTATCCCCTCAACTTCCTTCTCTTTTTCCTCTCCATTTTTTTCCTCTTCCTCCTCCTCCCTTTTTCTCCCTCTTTATTTCCCCTCTTCCTCCTGTTGCTCTTCTTCCTCTTCTCTTGGAAAGCATAGAGAGAGAGAGAGAGAGAGAGAGAGAGAGAGTGTGTGTGTAATTTAGAAATATATTAATCATTATATATTTTGTCATCTATGCTATGATAATATAACCTATAAGTGTAAATAATAATAAGAGTCCTGTCTGTCTGTCTGTCTGTCTCAAGTCATAAAGACAGACAGACAGATAGACAGGGCGTCGCCAATCTCCAATCAGTGGGGGAGGATTAGTGGGAGGTCTTTGGGGATTGGGCAACACCTGGGGAGGTCTTGGGGGGCTTCTGAGGAAAAGTAGGAGGAGGAAGAGGAGGAGGAGGAGGAAGAAGAGAAGGAGGAGGAGGAAGAAGAAGAGGAGGAGGAGGGGGAGGAAGAAGAGGAGGAGGAGGAGGAGGAAGAGGGAGAAGACAAAAAAGAAGAAGAGTGTGAATAAGTATAAAGAGGAGGAAGAGGAAGAGAAATGAATGGATGAATGAAGGAAAAGGAGAGAGAAAGAGGTAGGAAAGTAAGAGGGAGGAGAGAGTAAGAGAGAGTATGAAGGAGGAAAGCAGAAGGAAGAGTAAGAGAGAGGAAAGAAGAAGGAAGAAGATGAGGAAGGAGAGAATAAGTGAGATAGAAAAGAGGAAAAGGAAAGAGGAAATTTGTTTGATAATTGAGAATTTCAATATCTCGTGACGTATGTATGTATGTATGTATGTATGTATGTATGTATGTATGTATGTATGTATGTATGTATGTATGTATGTCACCAAGATATCTCAGAAACTAGTGAACTAATTTCAATGTAACTATATTTAATCACCAGTTAAGAGCTCGGAACAAGGTGATTAAACTCTGGTTATGACAAGAAAGACGGAGTTCAGGGTCTCTCTCTCTCTCTCTCTCTCTCTCTCTCTCTCTCTCTCTCTCTCTCTCTCTCTCTCTCTCTCTCCTATTATTATCATACTTGTTCTACTTCCTCCATTTTTCCCCCTCGTCCTCCACACCTCATCTTCCTCCTCCTCATCCACACACCTGTTACGCCACCATAGCCAAAACACTATGCAGACAGAGACTATGTGTAGTCATCCGGGACCTGAACATACTGTGTGCGTTCTTAGGGTGTGACTCAGCTGTAGAGTGAAGGAGTCAACCCGCCTCTCTCTCTCTCTCTCTCTCTCTCTCGGGTGTGTTGGAAGATGATCCTTGTGTGAGTAAAAGGTCAATGTACACACACATACACACACACATATATATATATACGTACAAATAGACTCGTATATACTACACACTTAAGGTACTGACATGTGTATAACCTCTCTCTCTCTCTCTCTCTCTCTCTCTCTCTCTCTCTCTCTCTCTCTCTCTCTCTCTCTTACTTATTGAATTAGTATAAATATAATTATTATTGATATCTTCATAGTACTAGTTATTATTATTATTATTATTATTATTATTATTATTATTATTATTTCTTTTATTATTATCAATACTATTATAATTTACATAGTTAACTAAGCAGGGCTACCAACCTCGCAGGATTAAATTCAGCAATGTTAAGTTTTGAGGCAGTAAGTTGGATCCTCTGAGACGGCACTGACAACTCGTATGCTAAGAGAGGCGCTCAAGCAACAGCCTCTTAAGTGAATAATATCCCGAGAGGAACATTATTATTATCCGGCTATTCAACTCTGACGATGTTGTGACGTTGGTAACACTGTCTGTTCATGTAAGCGGGGTTCAGGCGCTGTATTCGGGTGCTCCTGGTGCTATGTGGAAGTTACTGTACTTGTGCCTGTACCTGCAGTATACTTGTTCCTGTAATTGTACCTCTACTTGTTTCAATACTTGTATTTGTTCCTGTACCTGTAAATGTACTTGTTTTTGTACATTTATCTGTACTTATTTGTTCCTGTACTCTACTTTTACCAGTACTTTACTTGTTTCTGTACTTTTTCCTGTATTTGTGCCTCTCTCTGTATTTGTACTTGTATCTTTAAGTGTACCTGTGGTTGTTTCTGTCCCTGAACAACGCTGCTTTTCAACCATTTTCATGTCGGAACCACACTCTCACACACACACACACACACACATAATACAAAAGAATCTGAAATATGTTTTAAAATTCATATTCCTTCACCTGTGGAATCTCAAGTACCTGATATTACCAAAGTGTCAAGGAGGTTTATAACTGTATTTTACCCTGTACTCATTGCTGTAATTGTTCAGCCACAGCTGTATATTTACTATATAATAGCAATAATATTAATAAACATACACACACACACACACACACACACACACACACACACACACACACACACACACACACACACACACACACACACACACACACACACACACACACACACACACACACACATCACTTATAAAACCCAATTTAAAGGACTCTTAAATAATTATGTAAATCCTTGAGAACACTTATAGTAATTACTTAAGAGATGATGAAGTAGACGTTGTAACGGAGTTGGTTGTAGAGAAAGTTGTTATAAAGGAGTTAGACATAACTAGGACCCCCCCTTAACAACCGTGTCTTTATTTTCCTATAGTAACATATAACAAACGTATCCTTTTACGTAAATAATAAGTCTTTATACCGTAGCGTTTACTGATTGGTGTTTAATGACGCTTGATAGTGAAGTTCGTTATAAGAGATGGTTATTATAACGACATAAGATACACCAACATTGTTTAAAATTATATGATTTTTAACTCAAAAGATGTACTTACGTTTGAATTTGTATAACTATATAAACAGATTTGATTTATATGTTATTATACTTGTTTGGTGTATATATATAGTCTTATAACGGGATTCGTATCAGAAGGAGTCTTTATAACGAGGGTAGATGCAGTAGCAGCCCTTTTAAGTGAGCTTATATATCATTCCGGCTAACAATTTAACCTTAATTTATCACAAACATGCAAACAGATTATAATTGTTTACTATCTCCCTCACTCGGTGTGTCAATAGGAGTTATAACGGGGTTCTTAGGAGAGGAAGTCGTTATAGCGGGGTGGGAGACAGAGTGGCACTGGGCACCCAACCTCCATATAGTGCCAGGCGAGGGTGGATGTGGCCCAGTTGTGTGCCGACACTCACCAGGGAGAGTATGTGTGTGTGTGTGTGTGTGTGTGTGAGTGACTGCGTCTGTCTGTCTGTCCAGTCTCATCACCACTCCCTTGGAATTCTCACCAGGAAAAAAATTGTGTTTAGAAAAAAAATATAGTATGGTGATTATATCTGCAATTTCGAGTGTTATATTGTAATGGTGATTGTGTTTGTGTGTCAGTCAAGCGTCACTACACACATACACACTACGACAGTCACCAACCCGCGTGCTTGGTGACAAATGGTACTTTAAAGGATTAGAAAAAAAAGCGACTTGGTGATTGTTTTTTGAATATTTAGTGGTGTTGAATGGTGCCATGTGGAGTGTCTGTCGTTCAGTCATCACCAATCCCTCCACGTCAGTCACCAACCCCCGTATGCAGTGACCAACCCCTGATGAGTTAAGAAGATAATAAGACCTGGTGATTAAGACTTGGTGATTAAATAGACCTGGTGATTTACATATGAAAAGGTTAATCACCTCAGTATAATTAACTACCAAATGTGATCTTCAAACTATCCTTATACTTTCCTAATCATCAGGCATTCAGAACCTGGTGAAAGCAATACTGGTGATTGTGTTTCGTGATTGGTGATTTTTTTTCCGTGAGGAGTATACACTGTGATAATAATCGTATCCCGTGTCCCGTTTTCTTTATTAAACAACTACTTCAGCTCTCCTCTTCTCGTCTTGCCGTCCTTGGTGAACACAATACTGGTGATTTAAAACAGGATGTGTATAGATGGCTCGTTTAGATATCAAATTTTTGGTGATGCTGTGTTTTTTTTTATTATAAGCGATTGTCCGTGTATGTTAGTTTGAAGTCACCAAGCACACCTCTCTCTCTCTCTCTCTGTTTTAAGAGTCACCAGGCAGGCATTCTAACCTTGGGGAAGACATTAATGGTGACTTGGTGACTGTGTTTGGTGCGATCGATTTTGCGGTGTTGTAGTTATTCGTTGCTGTTCACCATCCCGTGCTGGGTGAATACACGTGCTTTGTGATCAAAAGATAGTTAGTGTGTGTTCGATTTTTTTGTGTTTTAGAAATTATGTGTTCGAATTTTTGAATAATAATAATAATAATAATAATCATAATAATAATAATAATAATAATAATACCAATAATAATAATAATACCAATAATAATAATACCAATAATAATAATAATAATAATAATAATAATAATAATAATAATAATAATAATAACAACAATAATAATGATAATAATAATAATAATAATAATAATAATAATAATACCAATAATAATAATAATAATAACAATAATAATAATAATAATAATAATAATAATAATAATAATAATAATAGTAATAATAATAATAACAATAATAATAATAATAATAATAATAATAATAATAGCAATAATAATAATAATAATAATAATAATAATAACAATAATAATAATAATAATAATAATAATAATAATAATAATAATATGTAAACAAATACAAACAGTAAATAATTTTGTAAATTAAATCCTGTCGTGGATGTTATCATATTCATTTGTTTCGTGAACCTGAGTTATCTTCTGTTATCATCGGGTTGGGTTGAGAGATAACGGAACCGATAACATGTACGTGAGTGTTATACGGAGTAATTATCTATATCCGGTTCTGATGTTTAAGTGTTCGGTTATTTTAAGCTATCAATATCCCAGGAAGCTTTAGGGTGATTTAAATTAAGCTATCACAATAAGCTGGTGATTTAATACGGTAGTTTTTTACGCTTTCAGTTACACGGTAGTAATATATTGAACTGTTTTGAACTTTCAATAACATAGCGGCGGTGATTGATCTTGTTATGTCGATGAATAACACTTGTTCTGGTGATTACATGAAGAATAATTGTATGTTATTGCAGCAAGAACAATTTCCTTTTTTATTCATAGTATATTGTATAAACCACAGGCGGCGGATATGTATAAGGAGGGAATAACGTAGATATACATAGGAATGAATAACGTAGATATACATAGGAATGAATAACGTAGATATACATAGGAATGAATAACGCAGATATACATAGGCACGAATAACGTAGATATACATAGGAATGAATAACGTAGATATACATAGGAATGAATAACGTAGATATACATAGGAATGAATAACGCAGATATACATAGGCACGAATAATTGGATGTTATGTATAAATATTAAAGAGTATACATAACAGGAAGTGAATTAATGTATAACAAACAAGATAGATTTATACATTGACGTTAATAATATTGTATAATGTATGAGGAACAAGATATACAGTATACTTACATAGAATTGAATAATAATGCATAGTGTATGAGAATCAAGATGTAAGTGAATAATATTGTTAAGTGTTTGAAAAAGGATAGATATATGCAGAGAAGTGTATAACTTTGTATAATATAGAAACCATCGTCAAGAGAGTTGCAAAACGAGTGAATAACTTAGTGAATAAACATGCAGTACATTATATGAGTGAATATAATGAATGAAAAGTATCGGTAATGGATATATGAAATAGTGAATGACTTAAAATACCTACAATGAATAAGTATAAGAACAAACGTATTTATAATTATATTATAATGCGCTTATCACAGGTAAAATCCTAAAGACATTCATTATTACTATGTACGGTGAAGAGCTAAAGGATATCCATCAAGTACACCAGCAGGAGGCGAAGCGCAGCAGGATATCACACACACAGGACTCTTAACTGAGGAGTCATGACGCATTCCAAGTCCTATGTTGTCAACAAGTAAGTTTCTTCGTCGTTGGGTTTGTTTATATCTGCCCCCAGCTGAAGGTGATCCGGCAGGGATCTCTCTCGCCCACTCATGTGCTGACACGTACTTAAACGGGATTGGTTAGGGCCATGCACAGCCAATCCCCTGTGGCCACGTTATCACCTCTTATTGGTTATGGCTGTCACGTTTTCTCTGGTGGTTTGCATGATTATTATTTATGTTTTTGTGGCTATTTTTTCTCTCTCGTCTGTGTGAGGGTCGCGAATATATCCCAGAATAACTATGTTGCCAAGACACCACTAGTCATTTACCCCAAGATAAATTTGTCATTGGTCAAGTAGTTTGGCCCTCTAGTGGTCAGCTTCCTCACTATGTTTACTCAGATGCATTTTACGAAATGGTAAAGTGTTATTAATCTTGGTATAAAGGTTAGTTTATCCTCCCTGCAGTCACTAGGTGTATAAAGCGATCTGTCTTCAATGGGTTTATATGTAAAATTTAACCAAATGTTACATAGACAAGACACAAAGGAAACAAAGATCCATTAGTCATATTTACATTAATGCAAATTTTCAAGAATTCGGCCCTCTGGTACCCGGATATTTAACTAATCTTACTCAAGCGTATTACGGGAAGTGCTTAGTGTCTTGCTATTCTTGGTAAGCACTTGGCTAACCTTTCTAGTGGTCTCTCGGTGTAATAAGGTCAAGGTATGGCCCTCTGGTAGTCTGATACGTCACTCGGGTTATTCATACGTGTTACGGGAAACGGTTGAGAGTTGCTTATCTTAGTATGAAGTCAGTTTATCTTATCAAGCAACACCTCCACCTCCAGAATCCTGTCAGTGTGTGTGTAATAACTCGCACTGTTATACCGTTTTTGACGTAAACATTTCTCTTATTACGAAGAAAAATGAATTATTAATATTACTTTCCAATAAAACTTTTAAAATGGAAAAAATACATAGAATTATTGATATTACTTAACAAAAGGCGTAATAAAATAAAGAAAAACGAATAATATTAATAGTATTTAGACGTAATAAAACGGGAGAGATTCAGAATGGGTGTAAGCCGCGTTTGTACTGTACCACCCGGAAATGTAGATAATGAGACATAATTAAAAACAACAATAAAAACTAAATTAAAAACTCCCTGACGCGGTAAAACTTTTTTTGTCTCTGTCAATGCGGTTAGAGGCTGGTAACTATCTGACTGATACTGACTATAAACAGAATTACTTTTTTTTGGGGGGGTGCTTTTTGCCGGTCATTTGAATATAAAGTTGCCTTCCTAAACACTATGGATGATAAGGCTACATTTAACACACGGAAACAGACCTGAACACAAAGACTAGATTTGGTGTAAATCTGTTTGGCGAGAGTTTCAGAATGTTGTTAGGTTAGGTTAGGTTTTGATTTATCACATGATGTTAGGTTTGGTGAGGCTATGAGCTTGGTTATGTTAAGATTGGGCTGGTTAGGTTAGGTTAGATTAGGTTAGGTTAGATTAGGTTAGGTTAGGTTAGATTAGGTTAGCTACATATCCTATAGACAAGAGATGAAGGACACATGTCACACACACACACACACACACACACACACACACACACACACACACACACACACACACACACACACACACATACATACAGACACACACACACACACACATACAGACACACACACACACACACACACACACACACACACACACACACACACACACACACACACACACACACACACACACACACACACACACACATACATATATAAACAAAGACACAACCGATGTTTTCTGTCCTTGTTTGTTATCAGAAGAACGTTAGAATGTTGCTGTGTGGCATTAATGTGTTGTTTTTGTCTGGACGTCAACTGTTTACATTCGTGTTTAGTCTCGGATTCATGTTGTGGATTCCCTGACGACTGATTTAAGATTACGACTTGTTTAATATTACGGTGACTTAGTTAAATGAATTAAGTCATCGTCCTCAAGGGATTAAATCTCTCCTTCCTCTCCTATCATCCTCCCCTTCCCCCTTCCTCCCCCTCCTCCCTCCTTCCTTTTTCCTTTCTCCCTCCCTTCCTCCTCCCTCCTTCCGATTTTCTCCTTCCCTCCCCTCCCCTCTTCTCCCCTCCTTCCATGTCTTGGCAAGTGAAATACCTGCCTCCCTGCCTCCACTCCTTATCATACAGACTCTGTAAGTCCCTCCCTCCCCTCCCTCCCTCCCTCCCTCCCTCCCTTCATATCCTTTTCTTTATCCGCGCAACATGTAATCTTGCCTCTCTCTCTCTCTCTCTCTCTCTCCTCTCTCTCTCTCTCTCTCTCTCTCTCTCTCTCTCTCTCTACTTCTTTTGGGCCTCAGTCTCCCTTTCCACCTCTCCCTTCTCCCTCATTACCTCCCTTCTCTCCCTCCACCTCCCCTCCTTCCCCTCCCTCTCTCATTAAGACATCTGATTCAATTAATTGCTTGTAATGTCAGTGAGGGTTAACGACAGTCATCAGCGCCAGTCTACAGTCACCTCACCTGCATGTGCTAACAGGCCTCCAAAGTTTCTATTTTGACTGTACCCGTGACAGCTGCTCCACGGCATTACTCTGTCTGTCGGTACACTGGTTCGATCCTCCCCTACCGCCACACTCTCCAACCCCACAGTTTGTCTCGCCTTACGCTCGCTCTCTCTCTCTCTCTCTCTCTCTCTATTCCTCCTCCTTTTCCTCTTATTCCTCTGTGTCTTCGTATCCCCTCCTATTCTTCCTCCTTCTCTTGTTCCTCTTTGTCTTCTTCCTATCCCCTCTTCCGCCTCCTTCTCCCCCTCCCCCTCCTCCTTCTTCTCCTCCTCCTCTTCCCCCAACAGACCAGAGCATCATAATCACAGGGGCGGGAGAGAACGTACCCTCCGGACATATAACTCAGGGGTGGCGTCAGCGTTCATAGGCTCGTGAGTACGTGGGTTCGTGGTCCTCTTGTGGTCACGGCAACAGCCCTGGTGGTCCATGAGGGTTCGAGCCCCGACCACCAGCCGAGTTACCAATCTAGTCTGGTCTTGTGTTGACACCACTAGAAAGCTATTGAGAGAGTTATTACTAGTGTAGGTTGGCTATTAGAGCTCTCTCTCTCTCTCTCTCTCTCTCTCTCTCTCTCTCTCTCTCTCTCTCTCTCTCTCTCTCTCTCTCTCTCTCTCCACACATCTCCCTCTCCACATCACCCCTTTCCCTCAACCTCCCCTTCCCTTCTTGTCATCTAACGCCCCTCCCCTTCCCTTCCCCTCCTCCCCCTTTCTTCTACCGCCCCCTTCTTCCTCCCCCCCCCCCCTCCCTTTCTTGTCACCTACTGCCTACCCCCCCCTCCCCACCGCTCCTCTCGTCTCTCAGTCTCTCTCATCGGTAGGTTGAGACATCTGTCGTGACCACAGGGTAAACTTCTGGAGTATAAACTTAAGGTAGACTACAGGTAAACTTAAGGTAGACTACAGGTAAACTTAGGGTAGACTACAGGTGTTAAACTTAAGGTAGACTACAGGTAAACTTAAGGTTAGACTGGGTAAACTTGGAGTAGACTACGGAAATAAGCAAGGTAGACTACAGGTAAACTTAAGGTAGACTACAGGTAAACTACAGGTAAATTACAATAATCAGATCTTGAGAGAGAGAGAGAGAGAGAGAGAGAGAGACAGACAGGGATGAAAACGAGAAGAGTGAAAGAGAAAGAAAGAAAGTGGGATAGAGAGAGAGAGAGAGAGAGAGAGAGATAAAGCAAGTGATTACCAGATCTAAAGGTCACGATCACTTACAACTGCTCTTATATATATTAACCTTCATCAAGTGTTAAACTACAGACTCACACCACCAACTTCCTTCACTTATCTCCTACCAAAGAAAAGAAAATAGTGACGATAATTAATGACACTTGGTGGTAATTGTGTTGTTGCTATTATCATGATATTAATTATTATTCGTTTTTTTCTGTTTGGTTTTTATTTTATTTTCCTTTTATTATTTTTTTCTTTGTTGTATTCTTCTTCTTCTTCTTCTTCTTCCTTTTGTGTTTGCTGTTGTTGTTGTTGGTCTTGGTCTTGGTCTTCTTCTTTTTCTTCTTCTTCTTTTTTATTTTATTATTATTATTATTATTATTATTATTATTATTATTATTTCCCTTCTTCTTCTTCTTCTCCTCCCATACCTCATCCTCTTCACCTTCTTATTCTTTTTCATCTCCCTCCTCCTCCTCCTCCTCCTCCTCCTCCTCCTCCTCCTCCTCCTCCTCCTCCTCCTCCTCCTCCTCCTCCTCCTCCTCCTCCTCTTCTTCGTCGTCTTCCTCACACAGGTAAAAACTCGTGAAAAAATTAAAACCAAACTTCTTAATACATTGCTTATATTAATGAACGTGTGTACGAAAAATTAATAAACATTTAATTAATTTGCATAGTGAATATTTCGTTTATATTAAGATGTATATATAAATTTGTGTTTATTTTCTTATTTTTTCTGGTTTGCGTCTGATAGCTCTATACATGTCTTCTTGTAAACCTTGACTTACTGACTGACTGACTTATTGATTGACTGACTGACTGAATGATTGACTTTATGAATGTTTAAGGCGATAAATTCTGACTCATCAAAGTTTCAGTATTAATTTGTGAAGAATTCTGAAATGACTAATATGAAATATGGGACTTTCTGAAGTGAATCATTTTCATAATTTTATCATAGAATTTGTAAACAATGGTAAATTGGTGAAGATATTTTTTATATATCTGTGTTGTAAATAAGTAAACTATATCCGGCTTATTTACAGGACCTGAAGAATGAAATGATTATATGTTCTTTACACTCGTATGATAAAATTGAAGGAAGTGAAGGAATTACTAACCTAAGATTTATACTTTTATTTTGAAATAGTAGAAAAAAAATACTGCACTCATTTTCAGTAATAGTTCAGTTAGATTATTATATATTTTACTCATATTTTTATAGCCAAATTATACGAAATTATAAAAAAATATAAT